CCGCTGTGCTTTCCCATGCGGTCCTGTGGATTCTGTGGGCAGTGGAGGCGCTGTCTGGATTTGCCCTCAGGAGATTTTCCTTCTGGAGTAAGAACATCTGAGGAGAACCTCTAGGTTGGGTGAACACCCTTCATTCAGTTTGATTGCTCCCCCAGTGCCCCAAGCATAGGAACCCATCTCCACCCCCACACCTTCCCTAATAGTAAAGAAACATTCCCCCTTTCTTTAATGTTTCTTAACATAAGTGAGATAGGCCAGCACATGGGGAGGTTGTAAACTTAAAAACAAAGAAAGGAGGTTTGCAAAGTGCAGATGGCTGACTGAACAACTGACATTGCAGGTGGCAAAAGCTGAGCCCTCACCCAGGTTCCAGCCTGGCCACTGGGGTCCTGGGCTGGGCTGGGTGAGGGACCCGCAGCTCACCCTCTGTGAGCCTGATGTGCCTCTAAAATGCAGGTTGTGAGAGTTAAGAGGCAGGCACTTGGTACAGTTTAGCACTAACTCAATGAGAAGTAGTGTTCTATTCTGATATTACTTAATTAAGGCTATTTGAATAATAAAAATATTCTTCATGGTAAGTGCTTTCTTCATTGTATTAAATCCCAAGAAGCCGGCAAGATTGATATTATTATCTCACAGGTGAGGAAAGGAGGGCCTAGAAAGTTCAGGAACTTTATTTTTTTTAATATATTTTTATTGATTTCAGAGAGGAAAGGAGAGAGAGAGAGAAACATCAGTGATGAGAAAGAACCATTGATCTACTGCTTTCTGCACACCCCACACTGGGGATTGAGCCCGCAACCTGGGCATGTGTCCTGACTGGGAATCGAACCGGGACCTCCTGGTTCATCGGTGGACCCTCAACCACTGAACCCCACCTGCCCGGTGGTTCAGGAACTTTCTTCCCAAGGGGGTCCACGCTCAGGTCACACCCAAGCCCTTCCTTCCTCCCAGTCCCTGCCAGTCGCCACCAGGGGGCCTTCTAACTCCTGGGTAGGAAGGCCTGTCTTCTTCGTCTCCAGCTGCTTTAGAAACCACTGTGCCTTAAATGCAAATGTTCTCTGAGCTGATGAAATGATCTTGGATCCCTGAGCAGGTGCATTCCCCTCAGCTCCCAGGCAGGCCCAGGCCCGATGGACTTGCCTGTTCTGCTGGGTTGGCTGGGCTGGATTGTCACACCCAGTGACATGCTGGTAAATCGCCCCTACCTTGGGCTTTTGGTAACTTCTCTTCGGACCCATCACCTCGTGGGGAAGTTATCTCAGCTGTCAGAGACCCCTGTGTACACACACCTCAGTCTGACAGTAACCATTCTCTGCATACAGCAAGAATTATCGAACACTGAGAAATGGGGTTGTTTTTCTCACAGTCTTTGCAAAAAGAATAAAATTGAGAGCCATCCTGATATTTTTTCGGATATATTATTTTTAATATGACATTCACTGCACTTCTGCTGTGTGCCAGACATTCACTGTCCGTTACCACTCGATCTGCACCGCAGAAGTAGGCTGTGGCCCTGTTCACAGGTGGCTGAGCCATGGGTCTGTGTTCCATTTGCCTTTCCAGCCTGACCTCCACGGCTCACCCAAAAGCTGCAGCTCCCCGCGAGGCTCTGTCTCCAGTGTCCCCCAGCATGTTTTTCACAAGCCTGCCTCTCTCTTGCCTGTTGCTTTCCCGTCTGCCTGATTTCTGCTTTGCTAAATTACTCTCCCTTCCCAGACCAACATAAGCCACCTCCGCCTGGAAGCCCTCTTGGAGCACCCTGCCCACCATGACCTTTTCTTCCTCTGTGCCTTCCTCAGTCAGTTGTCCTCAACATAAGCTTCTGATACTAGTGTTTTTTTCAGTGAGTTGTACCAGTTAGTGTGAACTTTGCTTTAAGGTAGAAATCATCTTATGGGGAGGAGAAAAGCAGTGCTGTCATCACTAAGACAAAGTCTGTTTTTACTCCAAAATGTTTTTCATATCTGTTTTTCCCAGTAGAAAAGCACACTGGGAAAAGTCGATCCATATGCTAAACTGATGGTAAAGTTGGCATTCCAAGTCACCGGAGGAAGGTGAGCTGTTTAACAAATGATATCGGAGCATTTGCTTCACCCAGGGAAAAGCAGAGTCCTCCCTCATTCCTGATGTAAAAGTAAGTTACGTGAGGGACCCGCAGCTCACCTAAATATGACAGGAAGGGCACATACCAAATTCATAGGAGGGGTTCCCTGGGGGAATAAAACTTAGAAGGCAGCATTGAAGAAAAATTTACTTTATCTATGATGGTTTTATTTCTTTAAAACGAAATGATGTTGCAAAAATGACAATATGTTAACATACCCTGTGATAGGAATAGAGGTATTTATTGTACTATACTTTCTACTTTTTTTGAATTTTTTAGGTTTCTAAAAATAAAAGTAAATATAGTAGAAAAACACAGGGGAATCATTTTATAATCTTGGAGTGAAGAAAACCTTCCTAAGAATGAAATAAAGTCAAAAGCTATTGATGCAGATTTAACTACATCAAACTTTTTTTACAAATATATTTTTATTGATTTCAGAGAGGAAGGGAGAGGGAAAGAGAGGTCGAAACATCAATAATGAGAGACTCATCCATCGGCTGCCTCCTTCACATCTCCCCCTCCCCCTTGCCACTGGAGATCAAGCCTACAACCCAGGCCTGTGCCCTGACCAGGAATCGAACCATGACCTCCTGGTTCATAGGTCGGCACCCATCCACTTAGCACCCTGGCAAAAACTTGTTGGAATGGGAGAAAATACCTACAATACATGGAACACAGACACAGGGTTGATCTCTGTACTATATAAAGGGCTGTCATCTCTACATTATCGTTTCCGAGGGAAAAGTAGATGAATAAGAACAGGTCATTCACAACAGAAACACAAAGAGCCAAAAAGCATATGAAAAAGAAAATTTCATAATTAAAATCTTTTTTTAATCTGTCAGATGGGCCAAATTAAAAGGTTGATGAGACTAAATTTTGGTAAAGGACGACGCAGATTTCCATAGGGTTGTGTGTTGGCACAAAAGAGAGCTGTTTGGCAAAACCTCACATGTTCTTTGACTCAGAGATTCCACTTCTGAGAAGCAACCCCGCAGAAATACCACAGGGAGCCCACAGAGACATGTAGGAAGCCAAACAGTTTGGAAACAAAGTCTGTCGCCTGCGGGGAGAGGGGGTGAGTTTGTTCCGCGCACAGTGAAACGCCGCGCAGTCATGAAAAAGGAGGCCAGTGTGTTACTCCTGTGGAAAATATAAGTAGACGTTAAGTGAAAAGAGCAAGTTGCCAAATAATACACGCAGTGCGGTCATGTATCGCTGACAGAAATTGTCAGCTCTGTGCGTTTATATCACCCAGATGGGGCTGGAAAAGACTGCAGCAAAGTGGGAAGAGCGATTACATTTATTCTTCATTCTTTAAGAGGAAAGGGATTCACCGTTAGTGACATCCATGCGCTTTAAAATGAGCCACCCAGAGGCCGGAGCCTTATATTTCTACACCTTCTCCAGCCGAGCACTTGCTCTCTTTTCACACCATTGCAGTCCGGTCCCATGTACAGTTTTGTAGCCAGCTTTCCACACACAAGCATCATGCTTAGTTACTAGTTAATATCCTGTGTCACATTTTACTTACATTTTATGGTTGGGAGCCTTACTCCTTAAAACCTATGAACCTAAAACCTTCCCGTCCTAGCCTGAGCACCTGCCACCCTCCCCCTGCCGTGAGGCCTGGTCCTGTCGGGGTCTGGAGTCGGGGGTACTCGAGTGTGCCAGGAGATGCGTGGGGGCCGCGGGCCTTGGCTGGCCAAGGCTGGGCCCGTCCTGTCTCCCTGCCTCCCTGGCAATGGGAACACCCCTTCTCCTGACCCGCGCTTTTCCTAGATAGCCAGTGCCACAGAGTAAAGATGGAAGGGCCGCCAGCCACCTCCTCCTGCCCTGGCTAGAGGAAGCAGGCCACAGCGAGAGAGCCTCACGCACCCTCCTGGTCCCAGGAGCGAGGTGCTTGGGGGCCTGGGTGGGCAGTGAAGTGAGCAGCACGGCCCTGGCACATGGCCACTCTGGAGCCAATGCAGCGAAGTCAGGACTCAGGAAGGAGGGCTCCTGGGTGGAACCCCCTCTCAGCCCTCTCCCCTCCCCTAGGCCAGCAGTCATTGGAAAGAGCTTGCTGGTTGCTTGGAGCATTTCTCTGGTTCAAACTCTGCTGATCTGGCCCTCGACCTCCACCCCTCCCAGGATGCTCTGGGGAAGGCTGGCTGAGGGAAATTCCCCTAAAAACATTTATTTTATCCAGTTTATTGAAGAGTAATATAAAAAGATACCTATTCGATATTTGCATATTTATAATGGTAGAGTAGAATGTTCAAATATCTTACCAATCTGAAGTATAATGTGGGGTGAGAAACACAGGAAGAGGTATAAGGTGACAATATTTTCTTTTATCTCAGAGAGAGATAGAAACATCAATGATGAGAGAATCGTTGATCGGCTGCCTCCTGCACGCCTCACACTGCGGATCGAGCCCATAACCTGGGCATGTGCCCTGACTGGTTCATAGGTCGACACTCAAGCACTGAGCCACGCCGGCTGGGCTAACGTGACAATGTTTTCCAGCCCAAACTGGAATACGTAGTCAGAGGTTTCTGACGTTGCCCCGGGTGGCGGGAGGCAGATTGAAAACATAAAGTAGTTCATGGGGACACAGGTCAGAATATTTTAAACTGCGGTAAACTGTCAGTAAGTGTGTGTCAGGTCTAGGTGGGCAGACGAGGGTGTGCGTGCCGGCAGGACCCCAGATGCGCCCTGCCAAGGAGGCCCAGCTAACCCCCGCCCTCCCACCAACAGCCTACACGGACTTCTTCCTGCCGCTGCTGCGCCGCTGTCCCTCTGCCATGGGAATAAAGAACAAGGATGGGGAGACCCCGGGGCAAATTCTGGGCTGGGGACCCCCCTGGGATTCTGCCGAAGAGGAGGAGGACGACGAGGCGTCCAGGGAGCACCAGTGGAGGCAGAAGCTGCTGGGAGAGCTGGAGGACGAGTGGCAGGAGGCCACCGGGCGGCTGGAAGGTGAGGAGTCCGTTCCCCAACAGCTGCCCTTCCCAGCTGCTGCTTTGCCTGCACCCCTCCTGCACCGCGTCCCCTGTGCCGCCCGCTTCTCTTGCCCTGTGACCTTCTCATGGCCTCTCCCCGACCACCCCTGTCCCCCCTCCCAAACAGACTATGCTGCCCATGAGGCCCAGGAACCCGAGTCCTTCTCAGCCTGGTCAGATCGCCTGGCCCGGGAGCACGCCCAGAAGTGCCAGCAGCAGCGCAAGGCAAAGGGAGCCCGCCGGCCCACCCGGGCTGAGGGCTCCAGTCTCAGCTGGCGGCGGCAGGAGGAGGAGCGGAGACTCTTCCAAGAGCGGGCCAGGGCCAAGGAGGAGGAACTGCGGGAGAGCAGAGCCAGGCGGGCGCAGGAGCAGGCGCAGGAGGCTCACAGGGCCCAGCCACCCAGGGGAGCAGGGAGGGGCAACCTCTGGCGCTTCAGTGACGTGCCCTGGCCCTGCCCTGGGGGAGGGGACCCGGAGGCCATGGCGGCAGCCCTGGTGGCCAGGGGTCCCCCCTTGGAGGAGCAAGAGGCTCTGAGGAGGTACTTGAGGGTCCAGCAGGTTCGCTGGCACCCGGACCGCTTCCTACAGCGGTTCGGGAGCCAGATTGAGACCTGGGAGCTAGGCCGCGTGATGGGAGTGGTGACAGCCCTTTCTCAGGCCCTGAATCGCCGTGCAGAGGCCCTCAAGTGACCCCAGGGACAGCAGGAGGAGCTGCAGGGAACGCAGCCTTCGAGACAGGGCGGCAGGAAGGGCATGATCAGAGGTGGGGGTGACGAGGACGAGGCAGGACCGGGCACTGTGCAGCAGAGGATGTGGGGTGGGAGCGAAACTTGTGATGAGCGGGGGTGGGAGGGCAGCCACCGGCACTGCTCCTTGACTCTGCCACTTCCTAATAAGACCTGGTTCCACGTCTCACTCCCAGGGCCCTGCCTTTTTCCACTGCGGTGGTTTTCATCGCCCATGACATCTTTCCCGCCCGTCTGCCGAACCCACAGCTCTACACACCTGTGACCCGCACGCACACGGCCGCGCCTGCACTGGACGCTGGAGGCCTGCTGCCGGCCCGTTGGCCCTCCAGTCTCACTCTCTCCCTATGCCGGGCTCCCCTCGGTAATTGGGGGCCCAAGAGATGAATGTGAACACCGGCCAAAAAAGGGAACAAAACTAGTTTCCCTCCCTCCCCAGCCCCCACCAGAACCACATCCTCCTCCCCACTCATTGCCTCCCCAGCAGACAGGGCTTTCCCTTTGCTGAGTCACTGAATGGTCCAAGTGGGGGGCAGCGGAGCTGGGGGCCATGAGGAGGTTGTGAGAGGTCGGGGCAGGAGCAGGATGGAGGAGGAGCCCTGTGGGGGAGTGGAATTTCGGTTACTAAAATTAGGACCAGGGGAAGTAGGCGGAAAGAGCCAAATTATGTAACCTGGGTTGTCTGTTCTTGGGCAACCAGGGACCCACACCCGCGGCGAGTGAAGGAGTGACATGGACTCACTCTAGTCAAGCTGCTCAGTCACTAAAGCCAAGTTGGTTGAGGCCCGAGGAAACGACTCTGTGCTCATTTAACCAGCTGGGAACTTAAACTTGGGAATTTTCCCGGCCTGTGTCAGTGCCTCCTAATACCCCCGATCACCCCTGAAGGCCTCACTACGCCTTGACCTGACATCCATCACCCAGACACGGTGTGACCAGACCACCTGGGTCTGACTGGGCGCCATCCTGGACGGTGGGTCTTGGCTGAGCCTGCAGGACCGACCATTCTCAAGAGGAGGACGCTTAACTTTCCTTCTCACTCGGAAACACTTCTGGGGTTTTGCCTAGTTATGCTTCCAGTTTGCAAACCTGTGAATAAATCTTTATCGTGTATTTCTAGCCAAAGCCTCCAAACACGTTGAGTTAGTTCGACAGCTCAAGCCTCAGCTCCCTCCATAGCTTCTGCCCCCATGAAGCCCGGGTTCCATCGCTGGGCAGCCAGGCCTGGCCTCCAGAGAAACATCCTGAGGGTGGAGGGAGAAGGCCTGGGGTTCCGCGGAGGACGGGGCGCCACCCCTCCCACTGTTCATGCTCAGCTCTCAGCCCCTGGACTGGTGTGGGACTAGACAGCACCGACCCCATGGCCACCCCCACCCCGGGCACAGCAGTGAAGTGAGAAGAAAGGACAGGCCGGCCGCACAGGCAGGGTGGCCAGTGTGGTGGGCACTTGTCTGCTTCAGGGCGCTTATGCATCAAGCTTATCTTTCAGGTTGGGAGCCCCAGTCTCTGCGGGCAGAAGCCGGGAGTAGAAGGGGAGGCCTTGGAGGAGGGAAGGGGCAGCCTCGGAACGTGGCATGGGAATGTGGGGTGAGCGCGAGACCCCGGGGAGACAGAGCCAAGAGGCCCAAGCCCTTGAGGCAACGGCCAGATGTGGGGCAGGAAGAGGAAGGGCTGTGAGAGGAAGCTGCTGTGATTCAGAGAAGAGACAGGCTGTGAGCAACCCAGGCGTCCGTGTCCGGTTCCGCTCACAGCTGGGGGTTTCGGAAGTGGCATGCAAAGAGCTCAGGTTGGGGGGGGGGCGGTGGGGTGACAGTCGGACTGGGAGCTGACAGGTGAGCATCAGGGAACTGGTGTCCAAATCTCCTCCATCCAGGTTTTCCTCCGGTTTTTAAGCACATCGCTGGCCCTTTGCAAAAGTTACATAAACCACAGCACAACACGGCCTGCTCCCGGCCCCCAGGCCCCCCTCTTTCCAGTGTCCCTCCCTGTGTCTGGCCCCCAGCCCTGTTGGGGGTTCCCCTGAGATGAGGGCTGTTCACTTTCTCTGACCACATGGTTTCCGCTTCAGTGTCTCTTTTTCCTAGGCTGATAAAAATACTGAGCATCAGAGGCCCTGCTTCCTCTGACCTCCTGGGCCAGGCGGCGGGCTTCCTGTCCACCAGGTGGGGGCAGGGAGGGGCCCAGGCATCCCGGGGCGACTCTGCCTCCCGTGAAGGGGGAGAGCGCGTGTCCCCTGGAGATGGGGCCAGGAATCGGTTCTCGGGGAAGGTGTCTGGGTTTCATTAGAGAAACAGGGTTGGGAACGAGACTGGTGAGGTGGAAGAAGGTCTGTTTGGGGTTTGGGGTCCAGTCAGGTCTGGGTTGAGTTAGGAAAAGGGCCTGAAGGACTACCCAGCCGCACAGCAAGTAGCCTGAGAGACCCCAGCGGCGGCAGTGTGAGCCGTGGGGAAGGCGGCGGGTGGGTGAGGAGGGCGGGCATGTGAGCTGGCGCTGGCCAATGGGTAGCGTTTCTGTGTGCGGTGAGTGGGGGCACCAGAGGTCAGGGAAATGGCTTGAGCAGAGGCCGGGCGTCCAAAGCAGAGTATGTTGAGGAAAAGAGCGTGCGGGCGAGGAAGCCCAGGAGCGAGGGAGCGGGTGTTGGCGGCGGGCACGGCGTTGGCATGCCGAGATGCCAGCAGAGGGCTCGGGCTGCGTCGGGGCAGTGGCACTGCGACCTGCTGTGCACACGCCATGGGAAGAAGAAGGTGATATTTGAACACCTACTATGTATGACCAGGTTCCTTTCCTAACTCCAGTAATCCTGCCAGCGGCCGTCCAGTGGGCGGGGTGGGTCTCCATGTACAGATGAGGAGACCGAGGCTCATCAATGTCTGTGACATGCCACACAGCTAAGGAATAATGGCATCCTCATCAGGCTCACTGTGGTAATAAGACGCGTATACAAACCCCGTAGGTCCCAATGCTGCAGATGGTATTAAAAGAGGGAACAGATTTTATAAACTTCAAGAGGATGTCAAGACAAGACAACGGATTGGGTGGTACCAGTGAGGGAAGAGGAGTCTTAGATGACTCCAAGTTTTGAGCTTAGGGGATCGGAAAGGTGATAATGCCCTGAACAAAGGAGATGCGTGGCCGTGGGGAAAGGTGAGTCCATTTCGGACACAATCAGTACATTTTTATCCAGCTGCCGGTGGGAGCCAGGTGCTCTGCTAGACAGTGGGCATAAGTGAGATAAAGTCACTGCCCTCAGCACGTGCCATCTACTGCAACACACACTACACGTGTACACGGAACAACCACGCAGTAATGGGAGGTGCGCTGCGTGGACTGGGGGGTGCGGGGAGGGGGCCCTGGCCCGGCAGGTGGAGGTTTGCAGCCAGCAGCGATGCAACCCCAGGGCGTTGGGCCGGAGGAATCGATTTGGGGGTCACTCCTCTCCGTGGAGGTTGAACTCTGAGTGGACAGGATCCCCAAAGAGAGGGCGAGCGGCCGAGCATGAGGACGATCAGAGAGGAGCCAAGCGGGAGAGAGGCACCTCTGGTGCTTCAAAGAGGTCGGGTCGGGAGGGCTGAAAAGATGGTTTAGGCTCAGGGACTAGGTGATTACAGATTTTGAGAAGATAGTTTCCACTTACCAGAGGGGCAGAAGTCACCTTACATGGGCCGAGGCATGAGTAGGAGGTGAGGAAAGGGAGGTGGTGGGTACAAAGTCAGAGAATGGCGAATACGGAAGAAACTAAGAACTGTCTCTAGTTCAACCCACAGGTTTTACAGATGAGGGAAATTCTACCAGTTCCCGAAAAAGCGGCTGGTTAGGGTGGTGAGATGTCTCTTGAGACGTCACACAGAAAAGGAAGGTGAGAGATGGAAGGGAGAAAGGGAGTCGGGAAGGATTTTTTTATTTTCAAGAAAAAAAAATTTTGTAAAATGAAGAGGAGCAAGAAAAGAGAAAACCTCAGAGGGAGAAAGGGTCCGGTGAGAGGAAGTGGGAGAGAGCCGAAGGGTCCGCCTTGGCAGGAGGAGTGCGTCCGAGTCGGGAGGAAGGGAAGGTCTGGGGTGCACAGGCGGCACCCCGGCTCCACGGGCCAGTGACCGGTGCTGCCTCTGCCTCTGACCTGGCCTGTGCGGCCCAGGATCATAGCAACTGCCCAGTGACATCTCCACTTGCACGTCTGTCCAATAGATTCAGGCAGATCCAACCTCAGGCTCCCGGGTCTCCCACCTCAGGAGCCTGCACTCTCCCAGTCTCCCCATCGTCACCCCACCTGGCCATCCATCTGATCCATCCTGTCAATTCTACCCCTGAAATATATCCCAAATTTGCCTGCTTTTCTCCATCTTCATGGCTGCCACCATCTTCTCTCCAGGATTGCAGCAACTGCCTCCTAACCGGTGTTCCTGCTCTCAGTGCTGCCTCCTGTGATCCAGTCTAAACCGAGGGGCCACAGGGATCTTTTAAAAACATAAGTCCAATCACCTCCACCTCACATCTCACTGCGCCTTTCTCTCTCTCTCTCTCTCTGTATCTCGCGCACGCACACTGAATCCTCCAAAGCGTCCCACAGTTGACTAAACCCAGATGCTTTACCCTGCTCGCCTGGCCCCTGTGCGTGGTCTGGGCCCGCTCTCCCCTCTCCCTCCCACTGCATCTCCCAGCCCCTCCCCTTCCTCTCTGCTCCAGCCACACCAGCTCCCTTCTGTTCCTCCCCACCCGCACCCTCCGGCGCCCACCTCCTGGACTTTGCAGAAGCTGGCCCCTTTGCCTGGAATGCTTTTCCTCCAAACTTCACCTGGTCACTCTTGGCATTTGGGTCTCAGCTTAAATGCCACCTACAGAGAGGCCCTTCCCGACCTGTCTAGCGGAGCTCCCTGCCCCTTGTCAGGCCGCTGGCCGCCTTCTCGCAGTGCTCCTGGCCTATCCCTCCTCGGTGCTTCCTGCACCTCGCCTCGCCTCCCCTCACTGGGCTGTGCGCTCCAGGAGCTGGGCCTGTCTGACTGGCCGCCACTGCGCCCCTCCGCCCACAGGAGCGCCCGGACTCCGTGGAGGGAGGGAGGAACCGCGGGAAAGCAGGCTAAATCTCACTCTAGCTTTGTGGCGCAGGCTGGGTCTGCACTTAGAGTCAGGCTTAACCATAGGGTTGGGCATGGTGGCAGCTGGTTTCAAGATTAGCTCTAGAGACAAGGTTGGGTTAGTTTAGAGAATCAGTTTGTTTGGGGTTCATTTATTGAGATGTGTTTAGATTTGATGTTAGGGTTGGGTTTGAGCTGTGATTTGGGTTGAGGTTAAATTTGGGTTAGAGTCAAAGTCGGTATTAAATCCCAATTTCGATTTTGAGGCCAAGTTTAGGTTTGAGGCGAGCGCCGTGTCAGCCGGGTTGGAAGCCTTGGAGAGTCCCCTGGCCTCTGCCGAGACCACAGTGAGACGTGCCCCGAGCGGGGGCACAGGCTCCAGCACTCCCCCCCCCCCCCCCCCCGGGAAAGCCCCGGGCAAGCTGCTGGCCACCCCAAGAAAGAAACCAAATTTCACACAACCTCCCTCGAAACTGAGATCGAAAGCAAGATTGGCCCATCTGAAGAGGTGCCTTCCGCACAGCGCCCCCGTGACGGCCTCTGCGGCCTTGCCTCCTCCTTTCTGCCCCCTCGCCTCCCCACCACCCTCACCTTCCCCTTTCTGTCCATCAGTGCTCAGCCTTCTCTCTGACCTCAGGGTTTCTCTTTCTCACGTAATTGCGAGGCCCTTTCATACTTTTCTAGAGCGGCGGTCTCTGTCCACCAGCCCCTGCCACCAGGGAGGCAGAGAGACACCAGGAAGAAGGACGGACCCGGAGAAAGCTGGGCACAGAGCAAAGGAAAGGGGCAGGAGCCCGGGGGAGCCGACGGCGACCCAAGACAGTGAGGTTAAAAGAGCAGAACCCGAGATGCAGACCATGACACTTAAAGGTGCATCTGTGACCACTGCTCTTCCTCCATCCCACCTGCTCAGCCACCAGGCCTGTAGGTTTTGCCTAGAAACTCTCCTCCTTTCTCCTGCTGCGGCCTCCGTAGAAATCAGGCTCCTGTCACCCGCTTGCTGGGTCATTGCGAACCCTCCTGACTGGTCTGCACACTCTGGTTTCCCCTCCAGCCCTCCAGCTCCCGCACCCCAATCCACTTCCAAGTAGCTGCCAGACTCGTCTTTCTAACTACCAATCTGGGCGGGTCCTGCTCACCTAGCAGTTTGGGTGGCTCATCACAATCACAGTGGAATGCAGACCTTTCCGTGGTCTCAGACCCCAGGATAGCTCTCAGCTACATGCCACCTCCTTCCCCTGCCGCCGGCACCCAGTCGCACCGCTCAGCACACGCCCTGCCGTCTGCACACATGGTTCCCTCTGTCTGAACTCCTCCTCACCATCTTCTCTGCCTCGATGCCTAGTGCCTGAAGCCCACTCCCCAAGCGCCATGCTTTTCTGCGGGCTGCCGTGAGCGCCCCGTCATGGATCTGTCACACCTACTGTCATGTCCCAGTTACTTCCCTGTCTCCCACTCTGGATTTTGAGGTCCCGAAGGTCAGGAGCCTGTCTTTTGCATCTGTATTCTCAAGGTCTTGTGCAAGATGCTCAGTAAATGTTAGTGGAACAGAGAAAACACTAAGTATATGGGATGAGAACAAAAAGAAATAATAGATAAGACTGTGCGGCAGGAAAGGCAGCGCTGCAGGCTGCGGCGGGAGCGGAAAGCACCCTGTGCACACCCTGGAGGTCACTGAGCTCAGGACCCCGCCCCGGGGCTCAGTGCCAGGGGAGAGGGCCCGGCGCCCGGCGCCCAGGGAGGAGGCTGCGCCTCCATCACCCACCCTCAGCACCAGCCCCTCCAAAACTCTCCGAACGGAAGCCTACGACATTAGTGAGAGTGAGATTGTGTTCAGTCTCATGAAACATGAATAAAATCATCTTTAGAAACCTCGCTTTTTTAAAAATCTGCAGCTTACAAGCTAAGTGAAAACTGGCTCATGTTCAAGAATGTTCAATGTTTTTCATGCTGGCCAATTCCAGGAACAGCCCAAAGGCCCCTCAGCAGGAGAATGGATAAATCAATTGGAGTCTGTTCACACAACAGACATCTCCTCACAGCCGTCCTGACGCTCTCGTACGCAGCGGTGCCGGAAGAAGCCACACACAAATGAGCGCGCTCCGTGTGGTTTCATTTACCTGCCGTTCACAAGCAGGAAGAACTAATCGATGGTGAGAGGTCAGAGTGGCTGCTGTCCACGGAGGGCACTAACTGGGAGGGACCTGAGAATGTGCTGAGGGTGGTGGCTGCGTGGCTGCAAACAGGCGGAGGCCTGCAGGCTGCTGTCTGAGAGGAGCCCCTCACACACGAACATCGAGACGCTGGGTCCCTCACACTGCAACAGCGCACTGGCTCTCCAAATGCAGCCTCAAGGCCGGTGGCTCGGCTGCCACCCCCTCCATCCCGGGAGGTGTTTGTGGGGGGTTCTGGAGACCCGATCTGTGGGGGCCCGAAGGGAAGGCCGGGTGTGCGATGCAGCATCGTGTGTGGGTGGGGACCGTGCATGTCTCCCAGGACAGCAGACAAGGGTCCCAGGCTCCTTGATATGAAACTTGACATGGAAGTTCACACTGGGACAACGGGGCTGGAGCATCTGGGACAGACAGGGTGCAAGGGGAGCGGTGGGCCCAGAGAGAAGCCTGCAGCCAGAGATGCCGGGCTGTTACACGTAACCGCTCTCCAGGCAGCCAGGCCTGCAGCCCACACCCAGCTGCTGCCCTGGGCTCCCCGAATTCACCGTCCTTTTCTGGAACTCCTAAGCCTGACCCCACTCCCTGGGCCTCCCGGCCCACAAGTCCCCTGACCCCACACCCTTTCCCAGAACCCAGCCGTCCGCGCAGCCTGCGGTTCTCTGGGGCCTCAGCCTTCCTGCCTTCGGCTGAAAGGCAGCACCTCTGAGCCCTGGGGGCTTCCCCGGCCCAGCCGGCCTAGAACCGCCTGCCGCTGCCGCTTCCTCTATAAAGGGCCCCCCGGGCGCACAGCAGGTGAGCCTCTGCCACCCCATCTCCCCGCGCCCCTCGGTGCCTCTCCCCAGCGCCTCCTGCGCCTCCCGCCTGGGCCTGGGCCGTGGGGCTTTGGTTTGTTCCTCTCTCTCTCCGTCTCTCTCTGTCTGTCACACAGCCTGTTTCTGCCTCCATCCCGCTCTGCTCCCCCCCTCCCTTCCGTGTCTCTGTCTCTCCTGCTCGCTCACCTCGGTTCCCCGACTGCGTCTCTGCCTGTCACCCTGTCTCATGGCGGCTGTCGCCTGGGGAGGAGGCCGGCTTGGCAGTGCGCCGCCCCGCCCGCTCACGTCTCCCCCCTGCAGGTCTCCCATGCCACCACCGGGACATCTCTCCCTGCGGAGGGGGCGTGGCGCCCCCCTCCTCCTCCTGGGGCTGCTGCTGGCCCTGCCACCTGCCGCCCAGGTGAGACAGCAGGAGAAGGGGGTGCAGGGGTGGCCCAGCCGAACCTTGGGCCCCAGAGCCCCCAACTCTGCTCTCCCCTAGGGGCTCCCCGATGCTGGCCTCTCAGCTGCACAGACTGCCCATCAGCACCCCCAGAAGCACTTCGCACAAGGCACCCTCAAACCTGCCGCTCACCTTGTTGGTAAACACCCCCCAGTCCCCCCAGACAGCCCCTGGCCCTCCTGCTACCCCCACCAGGGCCCAATTCTGTCCTCCCAACCACCCCGGAACCTGGGCCAGCACCTGCTTCTTCAGGGATTGAGACCTCGGGGCCCAGGGCCTTGACCCCCACCTCTGGCTCTTCCTAGGAGACCCCAGCGCCCGGCACGCGCTGCGCTGGAGAGCGAGCACGGACCGCGCCTTCCTCCGCCACGGCTTCACGCTGCGCAACAACTCGCTGCTGGTCCCCGCCAGCGGCCTCTACTTCATCTACTCCCAGGTGGTCTTCTCGGGGCAGGGCTGCTGCCCCGCGGCCAGCCCCGCCCCCATCTACCTGGCGCACGAGGTGCAGCTCTTCTCCGCCCAGTACCGCTCCCACGTGTCCCTCCTCAGCGCTCAGAAGTCCGTGAGCCCCGGGCCGCAGGGGCCCTGGGTGCGCTCGGTGTACCAGGGCGCCGTGTTCCTGCTCACCCGGGGCGACCAGCTCTCCACCAGCACCGACGGCATCGACCACCTGCTCCTCGGGCCCAGTACTGTCTTCTTTGGAGCTTTCGCGCTGTAGAAAATTCCAGAAAGAAAACAAATTGGTTTCCAGGCCTTCTCCCCATCTTGCCTCCACCCTGACCATCTCAAAGGTCACCTTGCCTGTGACCATTCCAGCAGTCTCAGGTCTCCCTGCTCATGTCACCTGGAGCTTCAAAGAAGGCGCCCTGGGCACCCAGGGTCCCCTCCCCAGCCGCCCAGATCCCACTGCGCTCCGGGCGCCTGGACGCTCCCACCCAGAGCTCTGCTCTGTGCTGCCCGGCCTCGCGGACAGGGAGGGCGGGACAGGGAGGGGAGCAGGCACGTGGGGAGCAGGTGGCTGTCTGGAGGCGGGGAGGGGGATTATTTATAAGGAGAAAAAAATAAGTTATTTATTTATGGAGGATGGAGGGAAGGGAGAAATAGGGGACATGAGAGGAGACAGAGATAAGTGTGCCCACCCGATGGGGGGGGGGACATCTCGGGATGCCCTGGAGGGGCCAGGTGGTCCGGCCAGGCCCTAGGAGAAGAGCCCCATCGCCCAACACCTGCCAGGAGACATCGGCACCTCCCTGAGGCCCAATAAACCTTTTTCTGCGAGATGCGTCTGGCTCTGTCCTCTGTCTGGGAGGGAAGGATGTCTCGGGGCTGTTTAAGGAATGGAGGGAGGATAGAGGTCTTGGAGGGGGGAGCTGGGGGCATACAGAGAGGCAGGGGCCTGCTGTGGGGGAGGGGCAGCCAGGCCCTTCAGGGAACCAAAGGGTTAGCTAAGAGGGCGGAGGAATAGTGTGGGTCCAGGTCTGGAGTGGGGAGCCCGGGCAGACATGGCCACAGGCGGAGGCTGTGGGGAGCGGGGTCACAGGGAGCTTCCAGAGAGAAGTGACCCCACCGAAGGGTCTTCAGGACTATGGGGCGGAGCATGGGGTCCCCTGAAAGCCTCCAAGGTGAGGGGCTGGGAAACCCCGGGGACATTTGAGGGAGGTGGTCACGCCCAGGGGCTCTGGGACTAGGCCCTTTCCAGGGACCCGAGGGAGCAGGCGTTCTTTGGGGTCACGTGGCCATACACTGGGCTTCAAACGAAAATCAGAGCCTCGGGTGCCTTTGGAGCCAAGACTGAAACAGCACTGAGTCTGTCAGAGCGAAAGCGGAAGGCCTGCCTGTGGGGTTCGGGATTCCCAGGCTGCCTCGCTCCCTCTGGGTTGCCAGGCTTGCCCCTGCTCCCCCCCCACCCCGGCCTCCAGGGGCCCCATCCCCTCCTCTCCCAGAGACCGAGCCCCCCAGCAGGTTTCCCCTTTCTCTTCCTGTCAAGGACTCAGCTCTCTGAAACCCCTCCCGTCTCCAGTGCTGCCCCTATGTGAGTCCTGCCTGCAAATCGGAGGGAGACAGGCCACAGCCCTGGTCCCCAAAAGGAATGGAGACCATGGGAATTGGGGACAGAGGGGAACTGGGGTCCAGCCTTTAAGGTCCTACATTCACAACACTGACTGGCCCAGCAAGGCCACCTCCAAATCCAGGCGGGGAGGGCGGCCAGTATCCTTGATGCCTGGGTGTCCCCAACTTTCCAAATCCCCACCCCCGCAATGGAGAAGAAACCAAACCGAGACTGAAGGTGCAGGGCCCACTACCGCTTCCTCCAGATGAGCTCATGGGTTTCTCCACCAAGGAAGTTTTCCGCTGGTTGAATGAGAGCTCCCCGCCCTCCACCCCCCAGGCTATAAAGGCAGCTGCTGGCACAGGCAGCCAACAGAAGCTGCTGAGCGAGGACAGGGAGAGAGACCAGCTCCAGACCCCGGGAAGTGACCTCTCCGCGACACAGCCCCCAGAGAAGCGCCAGGCAGCTCTCTCCTGCAGACACGATCTCGCAGCCGCAGCCGCAGCCGCAGCCGCAGCCGCCCTGTGCGTCGCTGGGACACAGCATGAGCACTGAAAGCATGATCCGGGACGTGGAGCTGGCGGAGGAGGCGCTCCCCAAGAAGGCAGGGGGCCCCCAGGGCTCCAGGCGGTGCTTGTGCCTCAGCCTCTTCTCCTTCCTCCTCGTGGCAGGAGCCACCACACTCTTCTGCCTGCTGCACTTGGGGGTGATCGGCCCCCAGAGGGAAGAGGTGAGTACCCTGCCAGCCTCGGCTCCCCCCACCACCAAGAGAGAAATGGGGGGAAAGAGGGTGAGAGGTGGGGAGGGAACACTGGAGAAAGACGGGGAGGCAGAAAGAGAAGTGGAGAGATCAGCGAGAGAGAAGGTTGGAGAGAGAGGTCCTGTCACCTAGAAGGTGCTCACTAAACATGTGTTGAGTGAATGAATGAGCAAGAGGACAAGGACATATCGAGAGATGTGTAGAGAGCTGTGGGGCATGAGTAGAGAGCTAGGGAGAAAACAGGTGCTATGAATGAAGATGCTGAGATGAGCAGAGATGGGAGCTATGAAGATGAAGTGGAGGAAGGAGAAATACAGAAAGATGAAGATAGGGCGTCTGCCTCCTGGAAAGCTCTCAACAAAGATTGTCGCATAGACGGGCGAGTGAGTGAAAGTGTGGATGGAGAGAAAACTAGACACAGCAGGCAGAGGGGACACACCAGCTAAGCGGCCAGCTCTTTCTCCCCGGGGACCTGCTCTGATGCTAATCCTCCACCCTCCTTCTCCCCAGCAGCACCCTCCTTCTCCCCAGCAGCTCCAGACCTCTTTCTCCCCGGGGACCTGCTCTGATGCTAATCCTCGCACCCTCCTTCTCCCCAGCAGTTCCAGATGGGCAACCTCCCGCTGGCGCAGACCCTCGGTGAGTGTCGCCTAAGCCTCTCGCCTGCGTCTGGGTTTGGGAGGAGTTGGTGTTAGTCCTGGGATGGTAGCAGCGGGGAAATTTACACCTGGGGGTGGAGGGATGAGGAATGGAGGTCAAAGTAGCAGGCTATTTTGGGGGAAACTTAAGGGTCTCACCTTTTTCTTTCCTCTTTCCTCCTCAGGGTTATCTTCTCGAACCCCAGGTGACAAACCTGTGGCCCATGTTGTAGGTAAGAGCTCTGAAGATGGTCTGGGGGTGTAGAAGCAGGTGGGCTGGGGCGGGCTAGGGTTTGGGAGCTGAGCCCAGGCTGAGGGCAGACAGTCCTTGGAGACCCTGTGAGAAGAACTCACTGAATTCAAGGGGAGGGAGGAGAAGCACCACGACCTCAGGGGGGATACTCAGAGCCCCGTGGGCAGATGGGATATGGGAAGACAGACAGAGGGGACAGGAACAGGATGTGGGGGTGGGCAGGACTCGAGGGCCAGGATGTGGGGGTGGAACTGAGGGTCACCCTGACTCCCTTTCCCTCCCTCCAGCAAACCAGCAAACTATGGGGCAGCTGCTGTGGCAGAACAAGGTGGCCAACGCACTCCTGGCCAATGGTGTCAACCTGACAGACAACCAGCTGGTGGTGCCATTGAATGGGCTGTACCTGATCTACTCCCAGGTCCTCTTCAAGGGCCAAGGCTGCCCTCACTCCCCCCTGCTGCTCACTCACACCGTCAGCCGCTTTGCCGTCTCCTACAAGGACAAGATCAACCTCCTCTCTGCCATCAAGAGCCCCTGCCAGCGGGAGACCCCGGAGGGGACTGAGGCCATGCCCTGGTACGAGCCCGTCTACCTGGGAGGAGTCTTCCGGCTGGAGAAGGGTGATCGGCTCAGTGCCGAGATCAACCTGCCTGACTATCTCGATTTTGCGGAGTCCGGGCAGGTCTACTTTGGGATCGTTGCCCTTTGAGGGAGCAGGATGTCCGTTCTCGTCCACCTCAGTCCCTGTGCTACCCGCTCCTCCAGACCACTCCGTCCCCTCTGGGTTAGCAAGGGGATTGGGGGCTCAGGGCTGGGCTCCGAGCTTAAAACTTTAAACAACACTTAGAAACCTAGAACGCACTGTGGTTGGCCTGGACAGCGGGGCACCGGCCACTTCCAAGCATTCAAAACGCAGGTTTGGATGCCTGAATGCAGCCGGGACACCTGGGTGTGGGGGCCGGGGAACCTTTCGTTCTGGCCAGACACTTCAGGACATCCCGTGGGAAGATCTTACCTCCCTTTCTGCAAATGTTCCCGGAAGCTTCCCTGAGACAGAGCGCCCAGAGGGCCAGCTCCTCTATTTATGTTTGCACTTGTGATTATTTATTATTTATTTATTATTTATTTATTTGCTAATAAAAGTATTTATTCGGGAGGTCAGGTGTCCAGGGAGACCCAGCGCAAGGGCTACCTTGGCTCAGACATGTTTTCCGTGAAAATGGAGCTGAACGCTAGGCTCTTCCCACCTGGCCTCCTGGTCTCTGTGTCTCCCTTTGCTTATGTTTTTAAAAATATTTATCTGATCAAGGTGTCTAAATAATGTTGATTTAGTGACTGACTGTCGCTACATCGCTGAACCTCTGCTCCCCAGGGGAGCTGTGCCTGTAACCGCCCTACTGGTCAGTGGCGAGAAATAAAGTGGCTTAGAAAAGCAGCTCGGTCTCTTGGAATTAACTCTGCATCGGTCGTGCGGTCTGCTCCCTGGAGTCCTCTCTCCACAGGGCTTGGGGTACCTGGACCCCGTCCTAAGGAGACCCCACAGGAGACAGAGCTCAGACAGCCCCACCCAGAGGAACGTGCAGCCCAGCCTAATTACCTCCGCCTCGGGCGTGGGAATTTCCAACTCTGGGAATTCCAACCGGAGAGGGGAAGTCCTGCAGCTCAGGTGCTCAGGTGAGATTTCTGGCTGTTGTGAGAGAGAACCGGGAGGAGCCATGTTCTCTGGCACCTGAGTCACAGCCCAGGGCTTCCAGACATTCAGGCATCTGGACTCCAAATCCCCCTGGGGGCCTCCAGCCCACCTGGCCCACCGGAACCAGTCACTGAACCTCATCTGTCAAATGGAGAGAGGAATGCCCACCACAGACGCAGCCACCAGAGAAAAGCTGCCGCGGTGCCCAGCACGGCACTTGACTCGGGCACTCGGTGAACCCTGGCTTTTCTCCTTTCTTCAGCCCCAGCCGTTCTAGCCCCTCCACCTCTCAGTGGGTAGGACTGAAGCGATAGAAGAAAAGAAAAAGCTAGCAATAAGGTGTGGGGGAAGGGTCCACGGCAGCTTGGTCTCCCTGAATTTTTTGGCAAATGATGAGGGGAGGGATGTGAGGAGGGTGACTTGGAAAGAGAAAAGCACCCCCTCCCCCCAGGAGGCTCTTCTGGACACAGAGTCACAAACAAATATGAAGTCAAAAATGGAGGCGCAGAGAATATGAGCTCTCACTGGGCTCAGAAGTTGGGTTTCCTCCCTGCCTCTGAGGAATAGCACAAAGAAATAAAATGTCACTATAGCCAAGCAGCTAAATTACTAAAATCAGGTAGGTTGAGGCCAGA